AGTAGATGGACGAAATATTCAACCCTTTGCTATCCAACACAACCCCCTTGCCCCCAAAGTTCAATGTTAATGTAGCTTGAGGTGCATGGGCCCCAGTGGACGAAAGAAATCAAACCCCCAACATCACTTTGGCGAACACGCGCCGTGAAACATTGAGATTTGGGGTGTGGGGGTTCAACATTCTGTGGTTCCCAAGGGTGTGAATATTTTGTCCATCTACTGTAGTTTTTAGTATTAGGGGGGAAAACCCACAAATGGTAGGTTGATTTTTAGATTGTTTTCTAAGGGGGATCAATTAAAAGTCAAATTGGCCAATCTGAAATTTTCTGAAATTGGAGATGGACCCTAGTTTTTAGAACTTGGGAGGGTTTAGTAATAGGGAGAAGGGATTAATGCAAAGATAGCATATGGCATATGTGGGGTCATGACAGGGGGACCCAGAAAAGCAGGATGCAGATGGATCCTTTCGCAAGTGTTATCAATGGTGATCATGGATGTAGACAATCATGATGTGATCTGATTTGAGGTTCTTTTCCCATGAACAAAGAATCAAGTGAGATGGCATGATCTTCCTGTTGAAACCATAGGATTCTGGCCCTTCTACTTCATCTGAGCAGCAGCCACGGGAGGAGCATTTTCTTTTCCCATGAACAAAGAATCAAGTGAGATGGCATGATCTTCCTGTTGAAACCATAGGATTCTGGCCCTTCTACTTCATCTGAGCAGCAGCCACAGGAGGAGCATGTTCATTTCCCATGAACAAAGAATCAAGTGAGATGGCATGATCTTCCTGCTGAAACCATCGGATTCTGGCCCTTCTACTTCATCTGAGCAGGCTGCTCAGATGAAGTAGAAGGGCCAGAATCCGATGGTTTCAGCAGGAAGATCATGCCATGCAGCCACAGGAGGAGCATTTTCCCATGAACAAGGAATCAAGTGAGATGGCATGATCTTCCTGAAGAAACCATAGGATTCTGGCCCTTCTACTTCATCTGAGCAGCAGCCACAGGAGGAGCATTTGACCTGAGCATGCAGGGATTGGATTTATGATTTATGTGTTTCATGAAATCTTGGAGTCTTGTGAGTGGTTAGCTTGGCAGTTTGCGTGTACCCAATTCATGGATTTCAGGATCCTTGGCCTGAGCTGGATGACCAACCGGAGGAGCCTGACCTCGTACCCGAGGGGGTTCTGTGGTGAGATGTGGTGTCTGGAGGTCTTTTGATGCCTTTGATGTCTAAAAGCATGGGAAATCCCATTGTGATCATTGTGTTACCCTCGCCTTCCCCACCTCCTCCACTTTCTTCGAATACGTGCAACGATCAAATAGAATAATAGGCGACACTTGTCGTCACTTACTGAGCTTAAGCACTTACAACCACTGGGCTTGCCCCCCTGAAACATCGTAGTCTTGGAGAACGATGTTTTGCCCCTAGGTTCAGCCAGCTATTTCCGGGCCATTAGCAAACATTTTGCAGGCAAACTCCCTGATATAATGAAAAATGTCTTGAAACCAGAGCAAGCCCATGATCAAAACATTGCAAAGTTACATAATATTTGTTCTTTTGTTAGTGGCTCAGAATAACAGCCCGATGCAAACTATAGCCCATAGTATCGAAATTCCATTCGCATGAAAAGCTGCATGAAATTGCTTGACATTTGCATGAAATGCATTGAAATGCTTTGTTTTCGCATGAAATACACCGTTTTTGCGTGAAGTTTTCCCGCCTCAATGCTCTACAATCCTCAGCAGCCCCTTCCACCAGCACGGAAGCCGTTATCGATGATCCCACAAAAACAAGCCCCGGTGACAGTCATGTGCCAGCCAGTGTGTCTAAATCGATGAAATGTTTATTTGATACTATTTGATCATATTTGGCTGGTTCGAATCTGCTTTGCAGATATGTAGCCAGAAGTCAAACGCCCCTGCATTGGATTGTTATTGCAGTTGCCCCCACTTGTGTTGAACCAGGTGTCCTTTCGTTGTAGGCATTTCAGAACAGTGAACGGACACCTCCAAATATGACCCAGGAACTAGACCCAAACCTCCGGGAAGTCTCAGCAAAGAGCAGCAAGCATCAGCAGCAACGATTTGGAGCCATTTGATGCACGATTGGTTGCGCGATGATGCAAGAATATTCGAGAGTCAAAAAACAAAATGTTGTAGTTGCAAAAACATTGCACTTCTGATCACTTCTGCATATGCTAAATTTAAGAATTCGTTGTTGGACCAACATGTTAAGTGACAGTTTAAGATTGGACCCCTGGGATATGCAAAGACATGCAAAAATTAATTATGTGCAAGGCGTACAACATCGAGACCATGTCGCCGTCCAATCCTGTCCAGGAATGGCGCGACGTGGCCCATCTCTCAGAGTGGGCCCAGAGAGAGAAGCTGGGCGCTCGATTTGAGTCCGGCATTGAGGCCCTAGTGAAGCAGGGTGGCCTCTGCACAACCACGGACAAGTTCCTGGAGGAACTCGGATATAGGCTTCCTGCCATGAGGAAGAAGATCATGGAGGCCATCAAAACCAAATTCCGGGGGAACCGGAAGGTGCGATTCGGCCAAATCGTCAAGTACGAGCCGATCCTGAAAAAGAGGCCTAATGGGAAGTGCCCGTGGACTGAGATTGATCACATTGAGGTGACACACGACAACATGGCGCTGAGGGCCGCCGTGAGAACATGGCGCTTTTGCGCCACTGGGTTCGATGGTCTGGAGGAGGAAGCCCTGATGCGGAAGGCATTCCAGTCCATGAAGCCGGAGAAGGCCGGGAATTGGGTTGTGCCTTCCCACATGTTTCAAACATTCTGGTGCGGATCCATCGGATTCTTCTGCATTCTTCATTTCCTGAATCATTTGTGAGATTTTGCCAGACATGTTTGACGCATATTATATAATTATAAAGGAGGGCCTTTTTTATTTGTGTTCGTTTGTTATTTTTGTTTTCCAGCCTGGCTTTGTGGTTTTTGTGGCTTCTGTGGTTTTTGTGGGTGTATGGCTTTTGTGGCTTTACCATGCTTTGCCTATCTATCTTTCTATCCAATCTAACCTAATCTAACCTAATCTTATCTTATCTTATCTAATATTACCTGAGTTTATTTTATCTTATCTTATCTATCTCGTATATCTAAACAATCTAAAGTATCTATCTAAAGTATCTTTAAAAAAAACTAAAGTATCGTTCTAAAGATATCTAAAGTATCTATCTATTCCATCTGAGGTTTCTATCTAATTTATTTTAAGTATCGATCTAATCCATCTAAAGTATCTATCTAGTCTATCTTGTGCATCTAATCTGTCTAATCTATCTAATCTGTCTAATCTATTTAATCTATCAAATCTATCGAATCGATCTTATTTATCTTATCTATCTTTTCTACCGTATCTATCTTATCTATCGTATCTTTATTTTCTATCTTGCTTTTATCTTATCTATCTTATCTATCTTATCTATCTTATCTATCTTATCTATCTTATCTATCTTATATCTTGTCTATCTTGTCTATCTTGTCTATCTTGTCTATCTTATCTATCTTGTCTATCTTATCTATCTTATCTATCTTATCTATCTTATCTATCTTACCCTACCCTGGCCTAGCCTAGCCTAGCCTATCTTATCCTATCCTATCCTATCCTTCTACCTATCTATCCATTTATCTATTCATTTTTCTATCCAATCCTATCCGATCCGATCCGATCCTATCCTATCCTTGTATCTACCTATCTATCCATTTGTCCATCTATCTATCTATCTATCTATCGATCTATCCATCTATCTATCTATCCATCCATCCATCTATCTGTCTATCCATCTATCTATCTATCTATCAATCTATCTATCTATTTGTTTGTCTATCTTTCTATCTATCTGTATTTTTTACACAAACACACACACACATTGTATCCCTACATGTACCTTGATCCAACCCTCAACATGTTTTGTTTGCTGATTCTCTATGATTTTGTGGCCAATTACCACTAATAAGATGCCATCAGTAGGGTCATCCCCTACCACTCGGGCAAGAATTTGCATGAATTTGCTACTTGTGTATATTGTATTGTGCGTGCGTTCGCGAATCGATTCGGTTTGTAAAAATGGCACGTGGAAATGTTTGACTATAATCATTTGGATGGCTCCACAGAGCATTTGCCCAACTTCGGCAGGTTGAGCGAAAGGCCAAAAGGAGTGAGCCATGCGCAGCGTCAAAAAAGTCTTCACATGGAGGAGGGGGATGTTTAGCAGCTGGCGGGGAAGGTCTTTAAGAAGACGTAGATCTAGGTTTGTTTGAAAACAAGGTACCCCGATTTTTCTGATTCATCAATCATTTTCCCTTTTATTAAAAGAGGCACTATTTTGCGCATTATTTCCTGACTGACCCAAATGGTTGTCGGTCAAAATTCATTCAACAAAAATGGCAGAAGGGGCATCCCAACGTACCCCATGTGATGCGTCCGTACACGGAAAGTGAAGCGGATTTGAAGGGTTCTTGCTTGGTGATGCTATCCAAAACTGGAGGCCCAACTTTGAACTGACGACTCATGTGATGTGCATCCTCATGGCGGGTGTGGACTACAGCATGGGTGTCGTAGTCGATTAATGTCGTGTTCTTTTTGGATTCCCTGAGCATCATCATCATATCATGTTCCCATAGCAGCCATAGCAGTTTGCCCCAACTCGTTGCCATGTCAATGGGGAAAATGAGGTTATGAGCAGTGGATGATGCCGGAATATCTGATTTGTTTTTTTGCGTTTGAAATCCGACGCTTTATCATGGTCGATCCTCGAGTCCTTATTTAAATGACCATCAAATGGCGGCTCAAATTCCTATCTCAGCCCTTTGTCGTCACCAGTGCAGGTTGTGTAGGCGCTTTAGTCTAGCTGCATGCTCTAGCGTCACAGCATTGCAGTGGGACATTCATGGTGGAATCCAAATACATTCCATAAAAACAAGGCTCTTGGCATGAAAGTCTACAACCCTAATTTTTGCTGTTGCTATAACTAATTCGGTGATGGATGAAATCTGGTTTTGGAACTGGAGCAAGGCATCTGCTTTTCTGTATCAGTTTTTGCTTCTGGTTGACCCCATACATACATCAGCTGTATTTCATGGCCTGCAGCCTAGCTTTGACGTCGATTCCTTCGGGTTTTTGTTGGCCATGCCCAAGAAACCGGTGCTGGTGACGATAGAGGAGTTCGAGGAGCTCAAGAAGCAGCTGGAGGTGCAGAAAAAATTGGAGATCTGTGGGAATAATGATGAATAACTGGTTGGTGGTTTGGAACATTTGGATTATTTTTCCATAGTATATGGGATAATCCTTCCCATTGACTAATATTTTTCAGAGGGGTTGAAACCACCAACCAGAATTAATTTGATATAACTTGCATGTTGGTGGACAGCAGAGAAATATAGACGGATGGAAGTACCAGATCACTAATTTTGTCTCAGAAGTATCGACTGCGTTTCTGTAGTGAATGAATGAATGGCTTGAATTACAAATAGATGCATTAATTTTAGGCAGGACTACATGAAACGAAATCATACGAAATCGAGTTTTTTCGTGGTCGTCAACAGGTGGAAAGGCAAAACATGCCTGACTGGTGATTTCATTTTTTCCAATTGATTTGGGGTGATGATCCAAATTGACTTTCAGATTGTTGTGGTGGATTGAGTGCACCAACCAGGATAAGATAGTTCAATAATGATTTGGATGAATTAGAAAGACTTCACTGCATTTCATTGCTTTATGTCCCTGAAAAACGATGCGTACCAAAGGTAACCTTCCCAAAGTCAGATTTTGTCCGTGGCTGCGCAGACCCAAATTGCTGCAGTGCAGAAGGAGTTGCGCACCAAGGCCAGAAGTGGGTCCACCACATGAGAGCTGTGGCCTTTGCCGATCTTTGCGGGTGTCAGAAATGCAGTTTTCCTGTGTTTCCATTTTTTCCATGTTATATAATATTAATATTACATATATAGATTCAATGATTCAACCATGATAAATCCAGTTTTCCTGTGTTTCCACGTTTTCAAAAGATGGTGCCATCTTATCAAGATGATCGTAAAATGGGTCAGATCTTCAGGGTATTTCCCCAAACCCAAGTTGTTTGAGCAACCCACCTTCACAGGAACCAACTCACAGGAGCCAAGTAGTCATGAAAGATCAATCATCGCAACTCCCACATTTCACCTCTAATCAGAATTGTCTAGCCCTCCACTGAATCAGGTGCCTGTTTGCGAGACCCACATTGCTGAGCTACAGGTGGTTTTTGCAGGGAGGGTCAGAGGTAAGTTCCAATATCAGGGGCTTCATGAATGAAACATAAAAGTTGTTCACTGGTTCACTTCATGACATCTTGAACCCTTACCCATAGCTATACTGATGAATATACATTAACATGAATATGCCACAATCCCATACTTGTAGCTATCTGAAATATGCAACGGTTGATGCATTCGTAGGAGGAGTCTTAGGGAGGATGCCCAGTGGCTCCCACGTGCTTGGCGGCTTTGTTCGCTGACGGAGGTTGCAAAAAGCGAGCTGTCGCAAGGTTTGGACGTAGCACCTCGTCGGACGGCGTTTTTTTGGCTGGTCCTTTGGGAGTTTGAGGTGACATATATACATGTGACATGGAACCGATAGATATTTCCATGATATTCCGATGGTGAACTGCAGCAGAATCGTTTTTCTCCACCTTAAGTGCGTTTTTTCCCCTCCTATGATAGAATCGGGTGACATGCCTCTCACAAGGGGTTTGCTGAGGCCAAAGAAGCTACAAAACGTGTGGCCGAGGATGCACAGGCGGATGGGCCCTGAGGTCAGAAGAAACTTCAACGTTTTTGAGGCACACCACAATGGACCCACAAAATTGATCCAATTAGATTATGTTTAAGTTTGCTATACTATGCTATACTAATATGTTAAGTTTTTGTTTTGCATTTGTGGAGAGTGATAGCCTTTTAGTCACAGCAGTCTGTAACAGTGCAGGGTATCTAGATCCCATGATTTTGAGAGTATCCTAGGGGGCTTGGGCATCCGTAAGGAAGCTGGCCATGCGAGCCGCGGAGCAATAAACATGGGCTGATCCTGGAATGATTCACCCTGATGGTTTACACACATTGACTCACATGGCTTGGCCGATGTTTTTAAAAAATGCACCCCGTTTTTTCAGAAACCATGTTTTAAACAGACACCGAACTGCTACCCAACTACCACCGAACAGGCTCTGATCAAAAGCAGCTGCAGCAGCCTGGAGCAGAACATGGGAGCGCAACTGGGGCAGCACCACCTGGAGCTGCGCCGGGCCGACGAGGCCGTGAATGCCATGTGGATTGGTTCAACGCTTCGGTTCGGTTCGGTTCGTTGGAACGGTGATGAAAAATGGTGATTTCAATGAGATACTGTCGTAGTATCTTGTAGTGGGAAAATAACAATAAATATCCCATTAAACCATATTAAACCACTATAAATATCCCATTTAAATGTGGCAAAGTGTGATTGGCCGGCCCGGCGAAAGCATCTAACATGTTGCGTGCACAGGACCTGCAGCAGCAGCTGAGACAAACAGAGGTGCCGGTCAAGAGAGGTGTCCTGGAGGTATGTGACCGAAAGATAGGGATGTGGGAAATAGTCTCCCAAGCCTCAAGTTTTGCAGGTTGACTTCTTAGTTTAATTTACGGGATATGTAAAAACAATGAAAAAAACACACGCGAAGTCCATCGAAATCCATGTACCCTCTGGTGAACATACAAAAAGCAATGGAAAATGGCCCATTGTTAAAATAGTGGTTTTTCCCATTAAAAATTGTGATTTATAGTGGATTTATACCATTTTCCCATGAAAAGCATGGTGATTTTCTTTCCATTGCGAACATGTTAGTCATTACCAGGCCGGGTTTTCCCATCAACCAGATCTTTGAATCCGTCCCCAAGATGTTTGCCACTAGAAACATAGCTATGAAATGCTTGTTGTACGGTACTTGATGTGAGGCCCCCGTTTGATAGCGTTCAGTTGGTGCAAATAACTCCAATTTCACTATGGTTAGTTGGTTTATGAACTCCAATAACTATGGTTTATGGTACGCAAATAACGAACTAGTTACTGGGGCGAATCTAAAGCAACTTGTAACTGGGGGGCCTCACATTGTAGGAAATGATCCAGATCAAAACGATGATGATAGTTGGTCATTTTCGGATAATCTTACATCAGACATGTGGAATCCCAGTGGTGAAAATCAGACTCTTCTGGAAACAACACCCATCAACACCCCTATCAAATGGCCACTGGGGAGTGGGGTCTTCATCTTCAGACACACGCATACTTTACTATTTCCAAATATCACTACTATACTGTTTTATACTGTTTTTATATGTGTTTATTTTAAACACAACTCCATTGACATACTCCTACAGTGATCATTGGATATCAGCCAGATAAAAGCCAATCATGATATTCAATAGTTTTTGGACAATCCTACATAATATATTCATTTATATTCCATTACACAGTGACACATGTTCCACGACATATATAAAGCAGTCATTACTCATGCAAATCACGACATGTTTATAGTTTATAGTTCTGTATTCTGTATGTTTTCTAGATGTATACCCTTTGGTTATTTACCTGTACGTGGAAAGGAACATCACCATTTTGAATATGTAAGTGATGACTCAGTGATGACTTTTATCAGCTATTTTCATAGGCCAATTTGTACCATCGCTCTATTGTTCAACAAACATGGCATCATTGAACCTACTATGCATCTATGCGGTCTAAAGGCTAAGGGAATCCCTGAACTTCATTTTTTTTTCAATGGTTCTGGGGTAGGCAGATCCAGTGAGAAGAAACATAGTGATAATGACATATAATAAACATCCATGTTAACCATAGCTCAATCACCATTAGCATCCATGAAATCACCATTAATATAGTGACAATGAAGTATTAATCACAATATTAATCCCTAAACATACATGTTAACCATAGCTCAATCACCATTCATCCATGAACTATGGCCTTTTTTGGCCATTGACAAAGGGTACCATCCACTTCCCACCGAACCTGGCGAGGCGGAGACGCGGGAGCTCTTGGCCGAGGAGTTGAGAGCCCTTTGTGACCGCGTCGATGAGGACGGAAAGCATGGAGTTGATATGGGGTTATCATATCTTACCATGGGGATGATACGATGATAATAATATATATATATAAATATATACATAGTATTGTATATCTTGGAGATGGTGTGTGGATCAATAAACAACTATACAGTATGAATGCTTTGTACGTCGGATTTGGATGGATCTGGTGGAATTATAGCATATCATCCAGCTATTGTGATGGATGTGAGTCCATACGTTGGGTATCAATCGGTTTCACAATTTCGAAAAATGAAAAAAAAACATTCCCCCGAGTCAACAAATTGTCCCTGGAAATGTTGCCAATCCCAGTTTCGGAAAGTTGTCTTCCAACCACTTGGTGGAATTGTGTTTTTCCCGAAAATTATGATATTCAAGATGACTTGAAAATGATTCATATGATTTTAGCAAGACAAACTTCACGGAACCAACAATAACGGAATCGCAACAGACAAGAAAGGGGATGACGGGACGAGACTTGAACAGTCACTGATAAGAAAATAGGCAACGGGGATGGGGATGGTGTAAAACCAAACAACGATTGGCAAATGACAAGCGGCCGGCGGCCGGGATGTGAAATTTCCAAAGCCACATATGTTGGTTCATACTCTCTCTCTCTGAATGGTTTGCAGAGTCTCCATCCTGTAGGGCGCCGTGCGTAAGTGCACAGACAAATCCTGTACCAGCAGGGCCTGTGGGTTATAATATATATATATATATAATTATATACATATATATATATATAATTATATACATATATATATATAATTATATACATATATATATAATTATATACACATGATATATGAAACGGTTGATTGCAGGGTTTCAGTTGTTCCATTCACAACTCAGAAATTGCAACTCTAAATCTTGGGTGCAGTATATCCCAATATGTCATTCCCATTCATTCCCCCTTTTCATAGAAGCGGCGGCTTCAGGAGTTGTCAGCGCTGCGTGATGAGTTGGAGGAGGCGATGAAGGGATGCTATGATCATTCACGAGCCGCGCGGCTGCGTTCAACAGCCCTGATGACTACTTCGGGGATATTATATGTCATATATATATATATAGATATATTTCTATGTCTCAACAATCACGTGGATTATTAGTTTTTTTAGTGTAATCAATAATCATCCATGATCCGGGAATTCCGTTCCCAAGTGATTCTTCAGATCTTCACAGAAATGGATGGTGGGTCCCCCTTGACTCACCCTGGACCATTTTTTTTTGGGTTGAAACCACACACCAGATCATGAGGAACAGGCAGGAACAGTTTCTTTGATACAACACCTGAGCAGTGTCCGAAAAATGTGAGCAAATCTGTTTGATTTGAAAATGATTGTCTCATCCAAGGCAGAGTTGCAGAAGCTCTGTCCCGCTCTTAGTTGTGCCCACGCATGCCATGGCATGCCCGGGCTGTAAAGGAACAGCATAAACCAGCTTGTGACGTGTTGTGACCACCACATGTACCATGAATTCGGACCAGGTGGAATCACTATGAATCATTTGTATTCATTTGTCCAATCTGGTTAGAAATGGTTAGCAATCCCTTGAAACAAGAAGTCCAATCATTTTTGGCTACCCCATCATGAAAACGCTTGCTGTTTTCCATGATGCAATTGGCCTGGGATGCACCATGATGCACCTGTAGCCTGGGTAGCCTGGGTTTTTTCAAAACGGTTACGGTAGGCGAGCTGCTGGTGAAGAACATCGAAGAGAACAAGCAAGAGATGTTGACATCCACCATGGAGGCAGTTCAGGCGCCGAAAAAAAACCAAACGCTCCAACGTGAAGAGATTCCCGTGGTGGAGGAAAACAGCGCGGCAATTTTTTTTGGGCAATGTTGTGAACATAATTACAGTATATGAAATATGAACATATATATATATATATATGAACACATTAAAAAAAAAAAACACTTAAAACACCAAGGTCTCTGGGTCTGTTTTTTCTCAAGAAACTGTGGAATCTCGGTGCCTCCCTGAGTCCATACCTCGGATCGCAGGGTGCCAAAGCCAATGTGCAAAAGGCAGTGGAGGAGCAGCAGCAGGTGGACGCGAATATGGTGCAGATTGTGGTCTGTATTTGAATATCTTGTGTTGTACCTGCAATAATACTATGTATATATTATTGTATGCAATATATATCTACTCACAGTTTTTCATACATCCTACAATGCAGTGTAACGAGTCTAATGTGACTTCTTGCATTCTGCACTTGCATCAACGAAACCCTGAGAAAAACGTGGAAGTCTAAGGGTCCCCCAAAGGATCCTACAGCGGCTGTGCCAGGCCAGGGCTGCAGAGGAACAAAGATTCCAGTTGTCGGAGGCCGGGGCCCACCAGAGCCTGATGGGCAAACTGATGACAAACTGCTGGATGTTGGGGTGTCCTATTTTCGGACAAAACCTGGATCATGGACGCAAGCTGGCCCAGACATGAAGGATCCCAAATAAATATAATTTAGCTTGAAACCGCTTGGCAATTTCTTGGATAGTTATCGTACGTCAGTTGAACGAAACACACATTTAGTTGCACTGCCTCGCATCAGCTCTCATGAAACTATCGCTGAGCACTATATCCCCCTTGGTGTAGGTAAGTAGGGGTTGCCCAAAATAAGGTTGACTTCAGTGCGCCAACCAGGAAATGGTCAACCAAGTCCATATGCAATAGTCCAAAGTTCGATGATGTACTATGATATATCCATGTTGGAGATGGCCACACCATTGAAAACAGGAACTATTGTAGTGGCCAAGTAAGACAGATTCTCAATTTTATGGTTGGATGGCCATAACCCATCAATATTATGAAACTTGACGATGGCACATATTGGCACATATTGGCACATATCATTAGCAGACCAATATAAAAACAGGGACACAACTATCATTAACATGTAATCAGCATAATATCATCGAAATGGATCTCCGTTATTTCATACATGGGATAATGAATTTACATGAATTTACAACCATAGTGAGGCATTATTAATAGGCACGCATAACATGTTTTGATAATATAAGTAATATATCTTTATACATACAATAATTATGTATATATATATATAGGCATTACATAGTTTATACATGTATATATGTGTGGTTTGAATATGTTTCCAATGATCATCTGCCAATCTCCTGAATCCAAGGCGGAGATTTGGCTAAAGCTGGAGCGATTACAGGAGCTGATCCATGAAACCGGGCAGCAGGAGCCCGGGCGAAAGCGGGACAGGTTACTTGGCGGTTCACCCCAGTGGGTTTTAACCGCAGCTATACCCGGCCTGGTAAACTAACAGTTTGCGAACTGGAAAATGGCCCAGTCGAAATAGTGGAAGTACCCATTAAAAAAGGGTGATTTTCCATAGTTATGTTAGTTTACCAGAGGGTAACTGGACTATCTCTAATTATCCGATATATAAATTGGTTTTATTCCAACTGACTTGGGTGAACCACCAAGTAGGAAAACTCAACGACCTCATGTGATCGAAAGTTTGACCGGTTGCTAGGATGCAACCTACTGGATACTGGAAAGTTATAGTGGAAAGAGCAGAGGAAGCTGGTGAATATAATATTTGCTGATGGGTAATATCAAAACATCACATGCCACACAGCTTCTTTCAACTTCCGCAGCCCCAGGGATGGTCGGCACGACGTTTTTTCACCCCCATTGGTCAACAGGAATCCTTTGGAATCAGTGACATATAGTGACTATAGTCTGGCATCACCGGCATCAGTTGCGTAGGTTTTTCAATTTGGGTCTGAAAGCAGGACATAGCCCATTCATGATGTTCAGCTGCCCATTCCATCCACTGGTTGACCATCATTTTCCCATCAAAAATGGTGATTGTATGGGTCAATCCCCTTACTCAGGTGCTGGTTGATGGAGGGTCATAAGTCAATGGAATATCTTTTTCTGACCCCCAAAACAACTGGAATTTATCGAATTTATGGATCTTTAATTATGAATACATTATATGAATACATTTAATATGGTATTTAATGGGTTCTAACTGTAATTTAATCTTTATCCTTTCAAAATATCGTAAAATTTCTCGGAGTTTTGGCCCAGACCTTGGGAGTCCCAAGGGGAGCCAAAAATCTCGGGGCAAGAGAGGCCAGTGAGAACTTGGCCAAGACCAGCGGTCAGCTGGACGAGAAGTTTTCGCAGGCGACCGGTCTCTCGCATCGCAGCGAAAATCACTGGAGAAAGTTGGTTGATTTTATTGCATCAAGTAGTTCAACATAGTTCAACCTATTCGATCCTATTAGTTCAATACTTCCAATATCAATATGTCAATGATTGTCAATGTGTGAGTGTGGTGATTACTGATTGTTTGGCAGAGGGACTGCCATCCAAGAGATTGATACACTATGATGCACAAACGTATGTTTCAAGCAGATTGAAACACTCAGCCAGTCATGCAATGATACAGCAGAGATATTTACGAACATTGTTCTAGGATGACTACTTGCAGGGTTTCTCCATCCTATTCGCAAATGGCAAATGATAGCCACAAGGGGGTAATTTGGTTAGTTTACCCTGCAATTTACACAACAATACCCCACTTGTAAGTGGAGTGTTGGAAGCAAACCTATTTCCAGTTCTGTATTCACATTATATTTCTATATTTGCATATGCCATATGCCATCAAATACCCACATGAGTAGCACTTTTTTTCTGGATGCAGGAAAGCAAATAGAGTGGGAACTCCACAAGACATGTTACGAACTGCCTTGGCCTCTTCCTGTGTAAGGGGGCCATAGCTACCCAGTATCTATTTACGGAATTCTTACTGAGAACCCCATACAGATAAACCTGTTTGGGGAAGAAAGTGGGCAAATAAGAAACAGTGAATCGCAAGCGCAGGGAAGAGAAAAAAGGGTGAAAGTGAAAGGTTCTGATTTGGAAAGGGTTATTTTGACGCTTGCGTTCACAATGGAGGAAGACCAAAAGGCATGACTTAGGCATGACTTCTTGATGTTGCGTTCACAAGCGGGGAAAGCGAAAGGAGTGACTTAGGCATGACTTTGTCAAATCCCTGTATGCCTCGGGCGTAGGCTTCCATGCAGACAGCGTAGGTTGCGTAGGCAGTCGCGTAGGCTTGATTTAGCCTACACAGCGTGGGCTTTGCGTAGATGCTCTTTGACAACAGTTAGAACCCATTCATTTTTGGATTGGTTAGTTGTGATTTGCTTGCTTTGTTTTAATATGCATGTCACGCCCTGAGTTAGGAATCGTGATCGCGAACGCAAGTGAGGATCATATCCAAGAACATCCAATTATGCCCTACAAATCTGGAATCGACTCAACTTCCCTTTCTTTCACAGGGCAGTTGAACTCGCCATTCGCAGGCACTGGATTTGGCCGATCGCCGGATCGGAGCCTTTTGGAATGCACGGATCGGCGGAGGGATGTGGGTTGTTGTTGTGCCGGAAATCGGGGTAATGTATAAAAACATGATATAGCATGTAATATATAGAGAGAGCCTGGGTAAATAATGAGGAAAAATCATTGGGATACTCATGGGTAGATTTCATGGGATACAACGAACTACTGCTTTTGTGTGAAAAATGGAGAATCTGAGAAGTTAGCCAACAAATATTGGAACGTATCATGGGGATTTAATGACAGCATGATATTTGGATGGTTTTGGTTTGAAAAAATGAACATAAAAAACAGCCAATAAGGGGATATTATTAGATATTATGATTATATTGTCATAGCATAACCAACTTCATATTATTTTGACATTTGACATTGGGTGTGATTGAAAATTGGGATTTCCCCAAACAATTGCAGCTCAAAGAAGCGATCAACCAATAGTACAGTGGATGGTACAATTGAAAAGCCATCCTTTCCTCTGGAGATAATTTTTCCCCAAATAAGACGCCTCAGAATACCATGGAAAACCTGTCTGTGCTTGTCAACGGCGTACACCCCAATCCATCCAATGGTCAGTCATCGTTTTCCATCAAACTTGCCATAGCTGGGAAAAGGGGCCCAAATAGATGAGAAAAGAATGGACAACAAACATTCATCAGAAATTCATCAACGCACCTCAGGCTATCCCATTTCGGCAAGAATCGCACACCAATATAGAGAGACATCCTTTTCAGGATATATATATATATATATCCATTTCATAAGCACCCTGTATTCCCCGATTGCATCCCATAAACTACCCCCATCACATTTTCCCATAGTATCATATTTCCCGGTAAGATCCCCATAAGATCCCAAAATTGTGCCTTTGATAATCACATTGATATCCTACTAAATTGATCAAAAAACAACCTCAAAAAGATTCAAAAAGTGGTGATATCTCCAATGTGGTTGATCCCAATTGATATATATATATATACATTTAAATATATTATATATATATAACATTGTTGGGGATTATATCCTTTTGATTACCATACGGTAAACTAACACATAGCTATGGAAAATGACCCTGGATGAATTTTGAAAATTCAATGAATTACCTAATGAACATATTTAAAGATTGTGATTTTCTACAGCTATGCCAGAATAGCTATGAAGAGCTAGCTAATGGATGGTTATTCCCTCAGTCATATGGTAGGTTTTGACCCATGTCCAGCCACTGAGGCCTTGGACGAGATCAGCCTGCGACTGCGCTCGGGCTTGTGTGAGGTGCAGAACGTTCCCACCCGACGAGTGGGGAATCCCAGGGGATTTGGGATGCTTTTATGATGATAAATAGGGATTTAGATGGATTTAGTGGGAGGTAATAGGATTTAATAGGGTTTAATAGGGTCTAAGTGTGTGACTTTGCCTGGATTCAAAATTCAGCGGGAGAGAATGGGGATAAATCCAGCGAGAAATTCTTCTATCTTCAGGGCCCCTTGAAAAGTAAAGATTTACATCTAGGTTTTGGGCGTAAACATGGGTCCAATAGATATACCCCTGGTTATTGGCGATGACTGGGTTATACGTTTATACCCCTCCGACCCTCCCAAATGGCTTTTGTTTTCTGAGGACGGTAATGAATAACCATCAAATATTGTGTCCTATTTTTTGACAAACCCACATGAGTCTGAACACAACTCTGGAATGTTTTGAACGTGGACAGATCGAAGGTCGTGGAATGGACACTGAGTGTGTGGTGCATCACATGTGTTGCTCATTTTTGTTGCCATGCTGTTTGAGAATCTTGGGGAAGAAAGTACATGATACCCTCTGGTAATCAAACGTCACAATTGGAAACCCCCTATAAATGGAGGTTTGAATGGGAATATCATCCATGAATGGTGGATTTTCAATTGCCCGTTTGATTTCCGAATTGCCCCGTTTGATTACCGGAGGGTGGGTGATACCACAGACGTTCACTTTGTTCGGAAACCTGAAACCATAGACAACTTGAGGAAGGAGTCAAGCGTGGCCTGGAGTCCCCAGCAAAGTCTCACCGCTCACAGACGTAATATATATATATAATATATAGTTTGGCTTAATGAGTTTTTTCCTTGGGCCCATATGTTCCATGTCTGGAATATGTACTATATAATGATATCATAATCACGAAAGGTAGCCTCCTAGCGGGCTACCTCGAGTTTTACTTTGCGAAGCAAAGGGGCGGGTTGGACCCCTTATCCTTGAACGACCAGGAGAAAGGGACCCCCCCCTCCCCCCCCTCAAAGGGAACTCTCGCCATATGCCGCCTGGTGAATCTCTTCACGCAGCAGCCCCTTCGCAGTGTCTCGTCATCATCACCATCATCATCATCATCCTCCTCATCATCATCATCCTCATCATCATCATTCGACTTGCAATTCGGATTTTTCGACATCCATTTTCCAAGTACCCAACGATGCGATGAAAGTGACAGGTTCGAGCATCCATAGGTACCGCAAAAAGACACATTGGAGTTTGTGCTAACACTGACCGTTTTTTTTTTCCCCGCACGATGCGTGTGTCTGACAATGTATACCTCCAAATGGCTATTTAAAAATGGACTAAGTGATGAGCAACCGCTCTGCTCTGAATGTCCAGTTCCATGCCCCCCCCCAAGTGAACTCTCGTCACATGCCTTGTGCGTCTCTTCACGCAGCAGCCCCTTCGCAGTGTCTCATCATCAGCATCATCGTCATCATCCTCATCATCATCCTCATCATCATCATCATCATCATCCTCATCATCATCATTCGACTTGCAATTCGGATTTTTCGACATCCATTTTCCAAGTACCCAACGGTGTGATGAAAGTGACAGGTTCGAGCATCCATAGGTACCGCAAAAGCGACTCTGGGGTTGGTGCTAACACTGACCGTGTTTTTTTTCCCCGCACGATGTGTGTGTGTGTGTGTCAGACAATATACCTCCAAATGGCTCTTTAATAGACTAAGTGATGATCAACCATGGCAATCGTGGGGTGCCCTCTTTTCGAATCCAGATATCTCCATTCATTCGGATCCAGATATCTCCGCTATGCTCTGAATGTCCAGTTCCATGCCCCCCCCCAAGTGAACTCTCGTCACATGCCTTGTGCGTCTCTTCACGCAGCAGCCCCTTCGCAGTGTCTCATCATCAGCATCATCGTCATCATCCTCATCATCATCATCATCATTCGACTTGCAATTCGGATTTTTTGACATCCATTTTCCAAGTACCCAACGGTGTGATGAAAGTGACAGGTTCGAGCATCCATAGGTACCGCAAAAGCGACTCTGGGGTTGGTGCTAACACTGACCGTGTTTTTTTTTCCCCGCACGATGTGTGTGTGTGTGTCAGACAATATACCTCCAAATGGCTCTTTAATAGACTAAGTGATGATCAACCATGGCAATCGTGGGGTGCCCTCTTTTCGGATCCATGCTTCGGTTGGACAGAAATTTTCCCTTCGTTCTGTCAAAGCGGTGATTTGCTAGCGCATGACGTCAATATTGACAAGCCTAAGGCTTGGTGTCAGCAGAAAAGGGCCCGGTCGCATGTCGGCTTTCGCACTGAGTGATCCCCCGCGTCCCCTGTGACACAACTACCTTTCGTGTCACCCCTTCTCAAGTAATCTACATGTATGATAATTTACCTTGGTCGTGTTTGAAGTATTCCACTGTAGGGTGACCTGCATGGAATGCCTCTTGTTTCACCAGCCCAAAAACCAAGACGCTTCACAGTGACACGCTCGAACTGCGCGCCTCAGGTGACATGGGTCATCCGCGAAGCCTCGAAAAAGATCCGAAGACCGCTGCTGGAACTTGGGCTGCAACAACTGAGGATGAGCCAAGAAAATGTTGGGATTATCCAGGGGGAAACTATCATAGATGTTGGCCAACCTGTAATTTCCCTGGGGGTATGTTTATTTGATAATTACTTAAATAATGAATGAGGGTTATCCGATTCGTCCCATTCCTTTCTTCTATGAGAACAGGGAGTCTAATCAGGAGGGATCATAATCAAACTTGGAAAAATAAAAAAATAGTAAATAATGATAAATAATGTTAATAAATAATAAATTAAGATAAGAATAAATAATACCAAATTGTAACAAATAATGGAAGCTATCAAAAAATATACAAAAATATTTAAACATAACAAAAAATATTTAAAATTACTGATTCAATTACCTTCCAGAACTGAGAACAACTTAAAAACATAAAAAATAGGAAAACATAGAAACAAATAAAAACAAATAAGAAAACATAGAAAAATAGGAAAAAATAGAAAAATAATAAAACATATAAAAAAATAAATAAAAATAAAACAAATAAATAATAAATAATTAAAAACAAATAAACAAATAAAATATTCTGGGGGAGCCGAGGCAGATTTCCTGTAATTTTCTGCAGTTTTGCTTCACAATTCCATTGTTTTATTGCAGTTTGGACTACCCTAGTTCATTTCTGAATATGATCCCTTTGAATATGAGCCCAAAGCTCATTGATGATCCTTGTTCATACTAGATACACCCTAGATTTACACCTTTTTTGGGCCATACAATGGGGGTGTTTGATTTAGTGATCCAATGTATAATTGGTTTGTAACCATGTCCTTTTCACATTTTTCACCTGGATTTGCTGAAGATGTGGTTTTCTCTGTGTTTCCATTGGCTCATCTAGGGCATTTGGGGAATCTACTGAATTTCCCCTCTGGTTATTTAACATAGCCATGGACAATTGCCCATTTATAGATGGTTTACCTATATTAAAAATGGTGATTTTCTATTGCTATGTTAGTCATAACCAGATGGTAATTTTTAATGCCTTGGAGCAGATCCAAGTTGACGATGATGGAGGCCCTCAGAAGAGCTGGGCCTGGAAATTCGCCATCAAAAACATCAATGGTTCCATGTACCATGGATGACACTTATATACAATTCTTAATTGAAAACATCATGGTCATCAATAGGTCAATAGGTACCTGGCTTGGTCATCATCATTTTCTCAAGTATATGATGATCATGCCGGGGGGTACACTCAATTTTCAGAGACACGATTTCACATGATAACCTCACCAGTCATTGACGAGTTGATGTTTCTTGATCCATGAATATTATCTCTTAGGTTGATGGACCTGGTTCCTGGAAAGTGGATGAACTTGATGAGGTAAGTGCTTTGTTAATATTGGTTTAGAGTTTCCAGCCAAAATCAAGTCGTTCAGGATTCACTGTCCCTCCAATGGGAAACTTGGAGCATTTCAGTGGAGTCTCATGCAGCAATGCCTAGACGTCGCAGTTGTAGCAGGCTTGCTCCAACTTTTCGGCAATAATAGCCACAAGGCTGTAAGTTGGTGATTTGATTGAGTATTTACCCTCTGGTCATTAAGATAGGTATGGAAAATGGCTTGTTTCTAGATGATTTGTGATGATTTGTGATGACTTAGCTGGTCAAAATGATAAATTTCCAGTTTGCACACCGTTAAGTGACCAGCGGGCATATGCATTTACCATCTGGTTATTTAACATAGCCATGGAAAATAACCATTTTTATATAGGTAAACCATTTATAAATGGGTCATTTTCCATGGCTATGTTAAATAACCAGAGGGTACCTGCCCCCTTGTACCCGGGGCGTTGGGACCTGGCTCAAAGAGCCGCTCTCAGGATGATGTGAAGATCCAGCCCCATGTGAGTTGGCAGGGAACCGAGGGCAGAGCTACATGCGTTAAGCCGCTTCAGCCAAGTGTCAACCAGAACTGCGTTCAGCTTTCGAGTTGTTGATTTCCCAGGGGAAGAATATAAGAAAAGGTTGCCAGGGAAACAATATCAATATTTCCAGATTCCAGATGGGAACAATATATCATGATACCCCAGCTTAGTGAAGCACTTCGTTTCTTGTTTCACGTGTTGTGATCCGCCAGGTTTTCGCCCCTCTTCGACGCAGGAGGATGCCATGGACTTCAACTTGAACTGCAGGCGACGCTTAAACTGCGGGGCCCCTTGGGCGTTTTGGTGGTTTCAGCATGTTTCAGCATGTTTCAGCAGCAAACATGTGCTATGGATGTCTTTTCCATGCTGCTGATCCAATGACTAGTACGCACTAGTACTTTTTGGGATGGATTGGTGCAACCAGCTGGTGAAACGAAGATCAACCAAGCCCTCCAGGTCTTCAGAAACATCGACCCACCGATCGAGGGGCAGGAGGTTGGAACATCCGAATTCGGGAATGGGGACATTTGTGGAAATTGATGGGATAGAAAGACAACAAAAACACGCCCAAATCAAGGACATATTCAGTGACATGGATTTCCAAGGAGGTAATTCGTGTTATTGTTTTCAAGTTTTTGGCAGCCGCTCGCGGCCTTGGGCAGGCAGGAGATTGTGCGGTCTACCTGTGGGCGACAAAAGGGTCAAACCTCGTCTACAAGTTGGGCGTTGGGACCAGGTGTGGGTTTTGTCAGATTTCCCAGCAAGGCTTTGTGAATGCCACCTTTGCAGTTGAGAAGTTCGTGAATGTTGCTCACTTTCTGAATGATGACCTGTTTGAAAGCATCCGCTGTACTTTATTCGCAACTGTCATTCAAGAATGGTCTCAACCTAGAGTTAGCCAAGTTGTCCAAGTTGTGTTCGAAAGCCAAAACGAATCCAAAATGAAATTATCAGTCCAGAAATATCTTGAACGATCATTAAACAAAATAAACAAAGCTGGTGGTGTAAACCGGAGAAGTGAGTGACCACTTCATGGGTCTCCAGGTGGCAACTGCTTGAGAAGAGGTTCAATGGTCGTGTCCCCTATGGTCGGTTCCTGAGAGCATGGTGCAGCCATATGCAGCCTAGGGAGTTGACCCCAAGTTTTCTGCAGTTTTGTCCTGGAATTCTTGGGATATCTTGGGATGTTCTGACAATTGATGACTAAATAATCTAAATATTAAATACTAGATGTGACTAGATCTGACAAGAATGCTTTTTGGGGGGATATGTGCCAAGTATAATAGGTGCATGCATATGCGGTGCATCTCCAATGATTGGTGCTTGAGGCACAACGCGCTTGTGTTTCTTCACCGATCAGATCAAACGCGAGGCTCCATCAATGGATGCTGCATGCGGTGCTGCTGTTGATACAATTACAAGTCGATACGGGTGCGTATAAAAATTCCATATTTCAATCAACGAATACAGGGATAGAATAAGGAGATATCATGTCCAACAGTTTTATGATATATATATATATAATTATATATAATATATATATATGTTGATTTGTGCTTGAAATTGGGGTATACCCCCCAGTTGTGGCCCTTGTCAAATGCTTCGCCAGATGCCCTTTCGACAAGTTTCGGAATTCCATCTCCCGTTATGAAACACCCCCATTCTGTAGCCCCAAATACCTTCTGGTAATTTAACATAGCTATTGAATATGGCCATTTATAGTGAGTTTTCCCATTAGAAATGGTGATTTTCCATAGTTATGTTAGTTTACCAGAGGGTAACTGACTTCATCCCATACCAAACCATGGCTGAGTCTCGGGGGGATTGGGGGAAGGATGACACCTTGCACGTGTCCTGCGAGATTCTGGAGGTCCACAAAATTGGAAAACTTGCTGCAGCCTCCCCCAAAACAGCGCGATATGAACTGATCACATGAATTCTTTGCTGCTAAAATTTAAATGGTGATATAATTGATATAATACATAGTCAATCATAATTATACCAGTAGTACCGCACAAGGCGGTGGCGGAAGTTTCAAAAATAGGAAACCTATAGGAGAGATTAGTTGTTGTGAATCAGGGATGGCAGAGCGAATCCACTGATGGACCGAAAGGTGCTTGATCTCTCTCATTCTTTCTCTCTCATTCTTTCTCTGACTATCTGCCTACCTACCTATCTATCTTCTATGTATCTATCGATCTATCGATCTATCTATCTATCCATCTATCTATCCATCCATCCATCCATCTATCCATCTATCCATC